TTGAGCTTGATACCTCTGAATGATGCACCAACCACATGGAAACTCAGATCCAAAAGATTAGACACCAACTCTATTCCTTCAAAGCTCCTTCTTCACAAAAGAATCCCACAATATCACTCAATAAGCCTCAAATGCTCACATAAACTATGAAAACAAGATTTAGGGTTTGAGGTGAGTTGAAGGCTGGAAATGGTGGCTGGAAATGAGGCCATCATGTTCCTTAAATAAGGACACACAACACAATTAGGGTTTACACTCTGAGCCTAGTACGCCCAGTGTACTAGGTGGCTTCCGCAACCATAGTACACACATGAGTATGCTGAGCGTACACACGCGTACTCCCCGCGTACTCATTTGCCACCTTTTTCTCAATTAAGGGCTAGTTTTGACAATTCAATAAAAGTAAGGGTCATCGATACATACCTTATCTCGGGATGTTACAACTACCTGAAGAAAAAAAAAGTCAGCAACACTGACTTTAGTATGGTTACAAGGACATCCATATGGATCACATATTTGGCTATAAATAGTAGTGCCAGTATCCCTCTAAGAATGTGTTCTAATTCTTGGACCTTTTCACCTGTTATAGTTTTTCCTTTTCCCTCCATTTGACCTCTCACTAACTTGAGCGCCAGAGTATTATCATTAGACTAACCTCAAAGATACCTTTAATAGAATGGCTTTCTAAGGTGATCCTATATTGAGAGACCAAGTTGTCTTACTCTCGAGTCTCTCGTATTATCATTGGTGTCATTTGTGGGACCTCGACAAAAAGTATCTTGTTAAAACCCTAATCTGACGTCCGAATGTCCAAGCTAGATTTTTTTACCATTTTGGTAAAAAAAATGAAAAAATAAATAAATAATAAGATATTTAATAAAGAAGTAGCATTAATATTAATAAAAAATTATTCAAAATTAAAGAAAAATAAATTGAATTAATAATTTAAATAAGTATTCATAATCAACTATTAGAAAATATAATGTTTACTATGTTATAATTAACGAAAAACTTAAATTTACCATCGTTGGACATAACTAATTGATCTTGGACCATTTTTGTTACAAACTGTATTAGTTAAGGTTAGAATGTTAAATAGGAGAAATGGCAAAGTTAGTAAACCACTTAGTGGTCAATTTAGTAAATGGGTAGTTGAGGGACTAAACGTATAAAATAGGAAAAATTGAGACATAAGCCTTTTTTTCTCTTTCATTTAACTATTTTTTTAGAGAGTTGGGAAGGAAATGTAGTTGATGATTTTGAGATTAAAATGATCTAGGAAGAGGTTTGAAGTGTTAGTGAAGAGGAGAAGTTTGAATACGTCAATTTGAGCTTTGTAAAAAAATTGTAAATTGCATTATCTGAAAGACACACATCAATATGTCCCAAAATTTATGCAGGTGGTCAATCGTGGCACACTAGCGATATTTTGGGTGTGACGAAGTTTGAATCGTATACCTTCCGACTCTTGAGTAGAATTGTGTACCTTAAATCGCTTGGGCAAAAAGAATACAGTATTTGTGGTTCTTCTCTATTTCAAGTTAGGGTTTGGGGATTTCGAGAAATCCAAGACTCTTTTATAATAAAGAGGATGAACATAAGTTTTAAGTCTAGATCTAAGCATTAGATCATTAAAAAATCACCATTCTAACCCTAGCTTGATGAAAATGCATTTTATGCTTCTAGAACTTAAACTGAAACTCATTTTAGTCTAGGAAAGTAATTATAATCTCAACACATGAATGTCAATGCAAATATGTAAGTTAAAGTCTTCAATTTGATCGTCTATGTACTTTCAAGTTTGTATGAAGATGGTGTGTTCATTTGACACTTTGAATCTAATTGTTCTTGTGATGACAATTTGAATCTAATTGTTCTTGTGAAATGGATTGAATTATATGGATAGTTAATATATGTCACTTAAATTGTATTGAAAGCATCATATCGGACTAATATATGAAGATCGAGTAATACTTTGGTAAATCAAACATTGTTAAAGAATTTTTTAGCACATTTTGAGAATTATTAACTTTGAGCTTTTGATCTACATATGGAGCTTATCATTATATGGGGTTGAATGATATTTGATGTATTAAATCATAAATTAAAAGAACAAGTAATATTCATATTTATATTATTGGTGAAATGTAATATGTGGAGTTATGGGAAAATAACAAGATTACATGTTGATCAATGTATTTTGATGGTTGGTGGGGGTATTACCCTCCCCGTACCCCTCTCGATTTCAACACCTACTTTAACATTGTAGATCATTTGAACATCAGATCAATCCAATAAGATGCTCTGTACTACTTTGTACTACTTTGTGTGTCATGTGAAGTTTTCAAAATGGTCTCTACATTATGGAGAGCAAACCCCAAAAATATGATTTGTTTGGGTTTATTGAGTTTATCTTGTTGCATTTGTTTAGTTAGATATCTAATTGGGGTCCCAAGGTTTTATTGGGATCGTGGCTTACTTCATGTACTTAGGCTATCAGGAGTGAAAAGCAAACCACGTGTGAGTTTCCTATGTGGCACACTAACCCACCGGTGAACACCGCCCCGTGGACCAGTGATTTGGGTGTGAAGTGGCTTCTAGTGGTGGTGAAGACGGAAGAAGACAATCATTTTGATTGGCTCTTCCTTTTTCTCTCACATTTTCTCTCCTCCTCTCTCCTCCTTTTTGCCCCTTCACTACCAACCCACCGGTGAACACCATTTCCACAACCTAGTGGGTTGGTTGTGGAATGGTAAAATACCTACGTGGCGCTGAGTTGGCTGGTGGTTTGGCTGTAAGGCTTTGGGGAGTGGTCACACCCATCCCACTGAAAAAGTGTTGTCACATGTGCGTCACATCAGCTTCACACCCAACCCACCACCAACCCACTAAACATTGGAAATAGTTACCACTCCACAAATTCATTTTTTTATTTTTTTATTTTTTTTAACATTATATTAAATAAAAAACAAAATACAAACCATAATTTAAATAAAAAACACACATTACATTAAAATTAAAAACACATTACATTAATATAAAAAACACAAATTAAAATTCTAAAATTCTTAAAAAAACATAAAAAAATTAAAATCCTAAATTACTTAAAACCATAAATAAAATCCTAAATTACTTAAAACCATAAATATTAGAACCTAAATTCCATATTTCTCCCGGACTTGTCGTTGAATTTTAAGAAAGGTCGCAAGATTTTCCGGGTCGAGATCCGGTTGGGGCTTTGTGTTTATGATTTGAAGATCGGTAAAAACTATTTTTTGGCGATTAGCTGCCTCCGACGATTCGTATTTTTTTTTCTAGAAAAACTAGAGCTTTATCTATGGATGTCGCAAGCTCGCCGTCGCTAGTTGCTGGTGCTTTTCCGCTTGAAGACGCTCCCTTTCTTGTTTTGTCCTGTCCCGGTGGTCGACGAAGTTGGACGTCCGGTGGGCCCTCCCCCTCGGTGGCGTCGAAGTCATCGTTAAGGTCGAGTCCAAAACTCACGTCCGACTCGGACGTTCTTGCCCTTTTGTTGGAACCGGTTGTAGATCCCGAATGCACCATTTCCGGATATAGAACCCATTTTGGACCGTTACGACAAACTTCTCACGTTTTTTGGTGGCCAAACGGTTTACCATTGGTGGTAATTTTTGTATTCGTAGGTCGCGGTCGCTAAAATGTTGAAGTCTTTGCTACCAGATCTATGCATGTTTTTAAGCTTGTCAAATATGTCATTGAATTTGGTGCAAGCCGCTCATAAATCACGCCATTTTGTGTTGATCGAGTCGTACGTCCGCTCCGTTTTCTTTCCTAATAACGCGTGGAAATGATCTAAAATACGACACCAAAAACTTTGACCCGATTGCGAGTTGCCGACATCCCCGTCTTGCGATATGAAAATCCAAGCTTTCGCTAAAGCTTCCTCCTCGTCTTCGTTCCATGTCGTAGTTTTTTTTTCTTGGATCTTTGGTTTTTTTTTGCCTTCGACGAGTTGGTTGTTGTGTTTTTTGGACCCGTTCGTCGTCGTCGTCGTTGTCGAGATTTATAGGTTGAGATTGAGATAATGAGACTTGAGATTGTTAAAATTGTTGAGGTGTAAAAGAAGTTTGTTGAAATTGTTGAGAAGGTTGTTGAAATTGTTGAGAAAGTTGTTGTTGAAAGGGTTGAAATTGGGGTTGATTGAATTGTTGTGGTTGTTGTTGGTAGAAGTTTTAGGGGTATGAAGTGGTGAATAGAGGTTGTTGGATTGGGGAGGTTAACAGTTGTATGTAGTTAACATTTGCATTTTGAGTGTTTGGGGTGTTTGGATTTGAATCCATGCAGAGAGAAAAAAAATGAGAGAGATGAGTGTTTTTTGTAGATGGTAATAAAATATAGAGATTGTTTTTTGAAGTGTAAATTGTAAAGAGAATAGAAGGTAATTTATAGGTGAGCTTGAGATTGTTTAAATTTAATTTTTTTTATTGTTAAACGGTCAAATGACCATTCCCCACAAAAAAAGCCGTTGAAACAAAAGAAATATTGTGATTGGTCGTCTCGTCCCGTCTCCGGAGCCACGTCACACGCACCCCACCAGACTTGGGGGCGGTGTTCACGCGTGGGGAGGCATGCCACCTCAGCCCAAGACGCCTGATTTTTGCCCCATACTGGTTAGCCTAACCACTCCCCACAACCTTAGTATTTAGTTCTCTTTCTGATGCAGTCTTGTTTCAATTTTGAATAACGGTTTACTATTTTTTTTATAAAATCTTTAATGTTTTTAAAAAATTTTAAACACATTTGATAATTGAAATCAGTTCTCATTGTCTTACTGATTTTGTGAATTTTATCAATTTCTTGAGTTTTCTACTTTTCCACGAAAATATAAGCCCGTATATTAGCCCAAGTTCAACAAAATCTGCGCAAACACACCCACAAGCAATGAAACAAACTCACCGGACCCACGTATCCATCCACACACGTGCCACCATTGGTCATCTTCTTCTTCAACTCTGCAATCATACTACAAATTATCGACTCCCATTACCATCCAACCTTTTAGAGATCGAAGGCAATCTCCATGGCTTTCACCATTGCTTCCACCTCCCTCTCAACCAGGGGAGAGTTGGCCACGAAGTTACCTTCTGTGGGAAGGAGCAATAATCCAAGGTATTTGTTGAGAAGCAGCCATGGATTGAAGCTTAAAGCAACTAAAGGAGGTGTATCAAGTGTCTGTGAACCACTTCCCGCTGACAGACCTATATGGTTCCCAGGAAGCTCTCCTCCTGAATGGCTTGATGGCAGGTCAATTCTTTAACCTCTCACTTCCATCTGAATTCATACATGACAATTAACATATACACATGCTTAATACATTCTCCTTGATTTTTCTTGATTAATCTTAGCCTTCCTGGAGATTTTGGGTTCGACCCACTCGGCTTAGGTACGCAAATTTCAACGGGTTGTCTTCTTTTTATGTAAATCTTCAAAGTCGTTAAAGAAAAACTGTTTCTTGACCAGGATCTGATCCAGAAACACTGAAATGGTTTGCACAAGCTGAGCTGATGCACAGCAGATGGGCGATGCTGGCAGTTGCGGGAATTCTTATCCCAGAATGGCTCGAAAGCCTGGGGTTTATCGAAAACTTTTCATGGTTCGATGCTGGGTCAAGAGAATACTTTGCTGACCCAACCACATTATTTGTAGTGCAATTAGCTTTGATGGGTTGGGTGGAAGGTCGAAGATGGGCTGACATGGTCAACCCAGGGAGCGTTGACATCGAACCTAATTTTCCCAACAGGAAGAAACCAAAGCCGGATGTCGGGTACCCTGGTGGGTTGTGGTTTGACCCGTTCATGTGGGGAAGAGGGTCGCCGGAGCCAGTGATGGTTCTTAGGACGAAGGAGATCAAAAACGGCCGGCTTGCAATGCTGGCGTTTACAGGTTTTGTATTCCAAGCCATTTACACCGGACAAGGTCCCCTTGAGAACCTAACGGCACACCTTGCAGATCCTGGTCATGTCAACATTTTCTCGGTAGAGTTAACTTCTTAATTTTTACTTTACTTTTCTTCTTATGATCGATATATGAGCGATTATTGTTTCGATCTGTTTAACTTTATGTATCATTTTCAGGCCTTCAGCACCCAGATTCAGTGATCGATGCTTTGGTTACTAGCCTTCCTTCAATCACAGTTTTTGTAAACTTGTATGTTTTGATTGAGTTAACCAAGTAGTTAAAACTGTTTCAAATTTAATCTCATATCTGTATACATATGCTTTGCTAATTACAAAAGAAGTGTGTTTCATCGTTGGATTATGATTTCTTAGTTGTCAAGAACCCTATTGTTCTGCTTCGATGGACAAGACAAACACTAATAGCCCACTCTTAAAGGTTTGACCATCCTCAACCCATTCAAATCCTGTAAGTTTAATGGATTGCCCATAGTATTACATTTTTTTTATTCAACTTTATATTAGATCATCTTTCCATGTAACTATTTATAAAGTTTTTTGCTACATGGTAAACACATTCAGAACCACCGGGCATGTTTTTTTTAGAGGTTACTACAACCATTTAAAAAACTCTAAGACCGACTCTAAACATGCACAACAGGCTGGACCAGCCCGGCTTGGTCCACAAAAAGCCCAACCTTGGTCGAGTCATGGTCAACGCAGACCTTAAATGGTTGTATGTGATATTTTAGGGATAAATATAAGAAATTGCAACATACTTGTCCCATCTAAGTCATTTTTATACTCTTATAGTATAGTACTTAATGCCTACAAATTATGTGATATATATATATCTTAAAGATAAATGCAAAAAATAACAACATACTTCCATTGGACTTTTATAATATAATCTTACTTTAATTTTTTCTAATACAACAAAACACAACATTATACAACAAAACAGATCCAAGAGCAAGCAACTTTTATCCAGTCTATCAACATTATATATGCTCCCAATAGATCATCCTACTTCCTCCCCATCTCAAGTCTCAACGGCTCCTTATTAATAGAAAAAAAAAAAAAAAAAAAAAAAAAAAAATCCGACCAGCCGGACACCCAAGCAAAGCCTGGCCCTATAGTTGAAAAACAAGCTAAGCTTGGTCTATTATCTGTATATTATCTAATAGTTAATCTTTTAACTTTTGTTTATCCATATTATAATAACTATTTTTTCCCTAACTGGAATTCAGCATATTAGTTTTTTTCAATATCTTCATTTAAAAATTATAAAGATGGAGTAATAATACTTTTGCTTCCCTATAGTCGATTTTGTTGTGCTTGATACAAAGTCAAACAGTTGAACTAAACACATATACAAAAAAGAGGGGGGAAACAGATTATGTGTCAAAAGCACACATCCACCAACGACCCCTACATATTCAATAACTTTGACCTGGTGCATCGGTCTGCTGGTCAGCCACAACTGGTCAAAGTCCCAACAGGTAGTAGGTTGTAGCTGTTCTCCTTTTTGCTTTTAACACAGTTTCTACACAAGGAAACAGGCGATCGAAGAAGATGAAGATGGGTCCAACATCATCTCAAGTTATGTCGAGGTTGAACCTGCAACCAAACCCAGAAGGTGGTTTTTACGCAGAAACATTCAGAGACTTTTCCGTTAACCTTTCCACTTCTCAACTTCCCCCTCGATGTAAGTAATCCTACTTCTTTCGTAATCTTTAGTCGATTCACCAAATGTTACACAAAAGTCTTTATCGTTCTCTTGATCGAATCTTCTTGATTTTACCTTCAAACAGACAAGGTCGGTCGTCCGATTAGTACAGTCATATACTTCCTGCTTCTAACCGGGAGTGTATCTCACCTCCACCGTCTTCCAAGTGCAGAAACATGGCACTTCTACATGGGTGAACCTCTAACGGTAATTACATCCATCATCTTCTCCAACAGATTTGATTTGTAGCTAGTAAAAATAATTAATGTCATCTTCTGCAACAGATATTGGAAATGTATGAGAAAAATGGAAGTGTCAAATTAACGACCATCGGACAAGATATTGGGGAAAACCAACGACTGCAGTATACGGTGCCACCGGATGTGTGGTTTGGTGCGTTCCCTACAAGAGACTACAACGTATCGACGATGGATTATTCAGTCGTGAAAAATGCAGCGAGGGATGCAGAGAAACATTTTTCGCTGGTGGGAACCACGGTTGCGCCTGCTTTCGAGGTCGACGACTTTGTGCTGGCTAATCGTTCTCAACTCGTTTTCTTCTTTTCCTGCTCATCAATCGCTTCTTTCTATGATCACACCTTCTGGTTAGAAGGGACCACGTCCATGTATTTTAGGGTACTTGATTCGGATCATGTGTAAAATACTAAAATTTACCAATTGCGACTTATTTTACCAAGGCAACATGTGCGGGAATAAAATTGACAAGTTAATAAAAGAACCGGTTTTCTAGTCTAAACCCAAGGTGTACACTATAATTGATAAAATGGCTATGATACCAACTATCTAATTTTTTTTTTAAGAAAATATCATTCAATTAAATACATGTTGTGAGAAGGTATAGACGTATTGGATTTGTTTTAAATGTTGGAATCTGACCTTCAATATTACTCACAAATAGACTTGACAAAACATGACACGATACAACAACCTGACACGAACCCGACACGAAATTAGCGGGTTTGGGTAAGAGATTTCGACACGTTTATATAAACGGGTTGACACGACACGACACGATAATTAAACGGGCAGGGTTAGGTTCAATATTTTCATCTTGAAGATGACTCGAATATGACCCGTTTAATTATATATCATTTTTATAAATTTCATATTTTAATAGATATATTTTTATATTATAGACTTGTAGTGGCCAAATTCAATAATTAAAAGTAAAATTCAAACTTTCAAAACGACTTAATTTTACTATCTTCACTACTTATCTTATTTGTTCCCCAACTTTAACTCTTTCTATTTTGTTTTCTAAACTTACTATGAATTTTGTCATTCCACCTCCCAACTCCAGTGTTTTACTTTTTCCTTTTTGCATCCCTATCTTCTACTTTCCAACCTTTTAAAATGTTTCAACCTGACATGCCATAACATATTTACAATGTCTAAACATTAACCCGAAAACCGATACGAAAATAAATGGGTTGACACGACACGACACGATAATTAAACGGGTCGGGTTAGGGTCAAACCCTATCAACTCGTTTAATGTCTTAACACGACACGAAACTGACACGACATGACACGTTTGCCAGGTCTACTAACAAATAACACACACTCACAGGTATATATATATATATGTATGCAGAAAGTAAATATGGAGATATGGAAGTAATTTGGACTCAAAAGCTACTTTCTAATTCATAAAACAAAGGGCTACATATAGCCTACCTAGCAGAAGCCAACAAAACAATCTAGAAAGAGACTAACTCTTCTTAAGACTATACTTTAGAGACCAAGTCACCCATGTGCACTTCCAATGAACTTGGTCAATCATCCTTCATTCAAACTAAATAAATCAAACAAATACTAACTATTAACCCATACTCATATCCTGATTTTACCTATCAAGATTATCCAACATTCACCCCCGTAATCTTGATGATACTTGACCCATTTCTTAATCATAGAAAAACCGGTTCTTCCTCTTGTCATAGTTCCTGCATTTTTGTCATTTCTTGCTAAACTTTCGAGTTCTAAAAAAACCAGTCTCGATCTCGTTCCTTCTTATTTTCTTCTATCTAACTCTCCTTAAGACTAGGATACTTTAGAGACCAAGTCACCCACGTGCACTTCCAATGAACTTGGTCAATCACCCTTCGTTTAAACTAAATAAATCAAACAAATACTAACTATTAATGTAACATCCGGGATTAATAAGTTACTAATTAAATTATTATTAGATTACTGAATGGAATTGATTTGGGCTTGGACTATTGGATCCTTGTGTTTGGGTTGAGAAGTGTCGTGCGCGGGGCGTACAATGCCAAGTACGCTCAACGTACTCATGAGATGAAGACGCGCATGCCATGCACGTACGCCCAGCGTACCAAAGGGTACGCAGCGTACGTATGCAGATTCTAAAACCCTAAATTTTAGGGTTTGATCCCTATATAAAGGACCTTATGCCCATAGTCCAGCCTCCCTCTCACCCTTAGACAGCCACCACGAAAACCCTAACCCGTATTTGTGTGTTCTTTTGATTTGGTAGCCACTTGAGAGCATTTTAGTGTTATTTTGGTGTTTTGGAAGAGAAAGAAGTTTGAAGAAGGAGCAAGGATTCAAAGGGAGCTTGTAGATCCAGGATATTAGCACCATTTCTGACTCATTTGAGGTATCAAGCTTCAAACTTGACCATTGCATGCTTAGATTTGATTTTGGGGTGCTTTATGTCACTTTTGGACTCCATTGTTGAGGTTTCTTGTATCTTAATAGTTTCAGACCATAAGAGCTGTCCTTTTGAGCTCTTAGAAGCACTTAGAGTCATAAAAATTGGACCTTGATGGTTAAGCCACAACCATGCAAGTGTTTGATAGTCACAAAAGTTTGGTTAAGGACCAAAATCATGTTTTGACCCCCAACCATGCATGCAAGCACATAAAGTTTGTGACTTCATGGACTAGTATGTCTTAAAGGACATGGATCTACATTTTGGACGTGAGGACTTAATGGATTAAGTCACAAATGGAGCCCCAACGAAGCTGGTCGGTACGCTGGGTGTACACCCTGGTACGCTGCACGTACCGGGTCAACTTCCCGCTTGTGGTCAAGGCCAACATACGATGGGCGTACGTGCCAGCTACGCTGCGCGTACGCATGCAGAGTGGCGAACTTGGGCTTTTGGGCCTTAGAAGTTTGGGCCTAGATATTTGGGCCCCATGGCCCACTGTGGAGTAGAGTTTCTAGGCCTAGAACTAAGATTTAAAGTATTGGGCCTTTTGGGCCATATTGGGCCACTCGAAATTATTTATTTTGGGCTAAGGATTTATTGGGCTTGTGATAATGCCTATTTGAGGAGTTGGGCCCAATTTAGAAAATTGGGTCATTAGTGGGCCATTGGTGGGCTTGGAAAGATAAAATGGAATTGGGCTTTGGATATGGTCCAAATTAGACAAGGGGTAAAATAGTCATTTTACCCTAAGAAGTATTATGGATTTTGACTAAGTGTTGTAATGATAATGATAGTCGGGGAGTCGTTGGAGCAGCCGTTGGGGATTCCTTGTCGTGAGATTCGACACTTAGCTTTGCGAGGTGAGTTACCTTCCAGTAGAAGTGGGTCGAAGGTACCAATGTCGGCCCACAAGTAAGTGTTATAGTAGAGATGATTGTCTTTGTGATAATTATCTGGTATGCCACTATCTGTTATGATTTATGTGCTAGTATGCTATGATATTATGTGATAATGGTAGGAGGGATAGGATAGGCCCCAATACTGGTCGAAATGACTGAAGGGGTAGGCCAGCACCCTGATATGCTAGGCAGTATGTGAATTATGTGTTTATGTACTAGGAGATTACATGGTAGAAGTAGGGGTGAAATAGTCCCCGGTACCGGTCGAAAGGGCCGAAGGGGTAGGCCAACACCCAAATATGCTAGGCAAGGTACCGGTCGAAAGGACCGAAGGGGAAGGTCAGCACCCTGATATGCTAGGCAAGTTACCGGTTGAAATAGAGCGAAGGGGTAGGCCAACACCCTGATATGCTAAGCAAGTTACCGGTTGAAAGAAACCGAACGGGTAGGCCGGTACCTGGTCATGTTAGACAGTATGTTTATTGTTGTTAGGTTATGTATACTACAACATCCTATGGTGCACATACAACCCTAAATACCTTGGATCTATGTTTTCACTAATTATACATGTAATGATGTCTCCAATGTATTAAGCCTATAACTAGCATGCAATTGACATATACCATACAAGATACTAGTTAGGGTAACATACCTTTTATGTAGCTTGAAGTCTTGATGTATTTGGACTTAAGAGCTTAGCCCCAATAGTGTGGAAGCCTCAAATGAAGTCACAACACATCATGAACAAAGGTGGCTCTTGAGAGAGAATCTCCATGCACCAAAAACATCTCCATGAACTCCAAGTACAAGTCTAGGCGTTTTTGGCTATGAATTGACATATTTATATGTAGGATTCCAAGGGTCATGGGTATAACCCAAATCCATAACCATGGGTGTTATGATCCATGGTTCATGTGGCCCAACTCTTTATGTATCCATACATAAACTTGGTCCAACATGGATCATAAGCCCAACACACATAAATATAACTAATTACCATAACTAGTCCCCATAGATTTAATTAGTCTCCTTTGATCACAAAATTAATTCCAAATTAATTCTTGATCAATACTAATTAAAACATATGATTTCATATTAATATATTATAACTTATAATATATTAACAAATCATATATAACATTCTCTCACGAATCCATCCTAACAAATTTTCCTGATGATATGCAACCCAAATGGACCATGCTACTCTCGGGTCAAGTACATACCAATAATAGTTATGGGCTTAGACATCTAATCCAACAGTCTCCCACTTGGATAAGTCTAAAACTATTATTGCAAGTACGACTCCAAAACCCGAGTAGCAATCGTAGCTCTTAAAAGCCGCTGTCGAACTCTAACCTAGTCAATGACATGTCCATTAGATAAGGGATCATATATTCCTCCATTCTAGATATCATATGGACTGATACATGGATTATAATCATTCTCTCTGTCCAACTGTTGTTTCCTAATTTCCGATTTATGACGACCGACTAATTGAACAAATCAAATCAGTCCAGGCCCGGCCGAGCACTTACGTTTGTCATCACTAAATCATCGAGGGGCCCACAAATATCGCTTTTATCCCTCCAATGGTAAAAGGAATGGATAAACTTCGACTCATATGCTTGCTCTATTTACTCATCAAATCACACACAACAATGCGTTTTATAACACCAAGTTACTGGTGCGTTTTCACATTATCAATGTGTAACCAACTTGTAGACTGCAACTCATATCTCTCAGTTTGACGAATATAAGATATTATCGTCTCATGATCACTCGTGATAAAATCCATGAAGTGATTCAAATGAGCGTGGGTTTAATCCCATACTCGAATCTTATTCCAGGAGCACTCATGAATACTGCAGCTATGTCTAGGCCACCTAGACAAACTACAGACCCATTCATGACAGTCTTGCCTCAATACCTACTTCCAAAGTATGATCGACTGTGGACGGTTTGAATAACCTAGTTATTCGGGAAGTCAAAACATGCAAAGTGAAACACAAGAATAATACTAATCCTATATGGCCCCAATACTTGTGAGAGTAAATAAAACACCTTTTATTTAATCATCATATTGAATACTCATTATTCAATGTTTCAAATAATCAACTTTATACT